TATCACACACTGGAGAAAACATAGAAACTAATTTCACATTTAATAAAAAGAAACAGCAAGTAACACATTGAACACATGAATCAACTCCTGAACCTGAAATTTGAAGAAGAATAACTGAAATACCATTGTCTTGGTATATATATATATATATATATATATATATAAGGGCTGTCAGTTTAACGCGTTAACTTAATTAGTTATGAAAAAGTAAGTAACACGATTAAAATATTTTAACGCAGTTAACGCACTGGCCCCGCCCCCAGGACTGTACGTCATCTTACATTCCATACAGTTGACCATTGACAAACGCAGGGCAGCAACTTCATAAAATTCAAGATATTGGGGCAAAAAATGCCCCTGTAAGAGTTTTTGTCTCATATTTATATCGTATGATAAGTGATCATTTGTTTCAATTATTAAAATGTTGCACATTCTGCAAGGGATTTGTAAACTTATGAGCCCAACTGTATGTGCGTGTATATATATTGCTAGGAAATGCATGTTTTGTTTACTGTGTTGAGACGTGCTGAAGTTGCATTTGGTCTCGTACTCTTATCGCATACCTTGTCAGTGTCGTGCGCTTGCTTAGCTCTTTGTTGTGATAAACAGTAAAGTGTGTATATATAGGCCTATATATATACAGTGATGGGCAGTAACGTCGCTACAAGTAGTGACGCTAGTAGTTTAACTATTAACATTTCTAGTAACATTTTCTAGTAACTCTAGTAGTTTAACTACTAACATTTTTACTAATCTAACTACATTTCTCAGTAGCGTGGTGGTAGCGTCGCTGTTTTTTAATCAAATAGCTTTTCAGTAGCGAAGCTCTTTTTTGATCAAGTAGCGTGGTAGCGTCAACAAAAGCTAACGTTACATTATCCAAAGCATTTCTGAAGCTCAAGCTGAAATCGGAAATATAACTGCTAAGGATCACTGATCCTGGACCAGTAAAAGTGACGCCACTGCCACTAAACCTCGTAACTCCATTGGCTCCTCAAACTGTCAGTCAAACCTCATTATTCCTCCCGCCTCTCTCGTGAATGAAGTGCGGCACGCAGTTTGGAGCATCTCAGCTTGTTTGCAGTCTGAAGGTAAATAAAAGAACTGTTGAAACACTATATTTATAAAGGCTAATGTTTTTTGTATTTGAGGAGCGGAGAAGAGTCTTAGCATTTGTTGTCAAGTCACAGTTCAAATAGCTTGTGCGAAGCGCTGAATCTTTTATAATATGATACTTTGGCCAAATAACAGAGAAAAACTTGAGCGCCCACATAGCGACAGAAAACTGTATAACCTGCAAGTTCATGAAAATGTAAATACGATGCCCGTACTGCCTTCGAATGTGGCGTTAATGACGGTGAAAAACATTCGCTGGTCAAAAACTTCGTATTTGAACTTGATTTTGGTGAAATGTTAATAATATAATGACACATGCAACGATGCAAATAAACAGCTTAAGTTATTTGTAGGCCTATACATCTATATGGTAACACTATACAGTACAGTAAGATTTCATTAATGTTAGCTAATGTATTAACTAACATGAGCCTACAATGAACAATACATTTATTACAGTATTTATTCATCTTTGTTAATGTTAGTTAATGAAAATACAGTCGTTCATTTTTAGTTCATGTTAGTTCACAGTGTTAACAAACACAACTTTTGATTTTAATAATGTATTTAACATTAATGAAATTAACATTAATAAGTTAGGCAGGTCATTCCACCAGGAGGGAACATTTAATGTAAAAGTCAATAATATATTGATATTTAATATTAAGGTAACACTTTACAATAAGGTTCCATTAGTTAATGTTAATGTATTAACTAACATGAACAAACAATGAACAATACATTTATTAATCTTTGTTAATGTTAGTTAATGAAAATACAGTCGTTCATTTTTAGTTCATGTTAGTTCACAGTGTTAACAAACACAACTTTTGATTTTAATAATGTATTTAACATTAATGAAATTAACATTAATAAGTTAGGCAGGTCATTCCACCAGGAGGGAACATTTAATGTAAAAGTCAGTGAAAGTGATTTTGTGCCTCTTTGGGATGGCACAATAAAGTGACGTTCACTTGCAGAATGCAAGCTTCTAGAGGGCACATAAAACATACATTTATATAAATGTATCTGTATACAATAAAGCCACAATACCAACTACCAACAGGAGGTTTCCGTCTGACAGCAAAAATTTATTTTGCCTGTGTCACAATATGAGATAAATCCAGCCCTGTACATGATACTGATTTTTGTTGCCAAACTGGTTTGGAACAGTTGTTGAATAAACGACTAAACTGAAATAGTATGTCTGTCTATCTGCTTGACTGACAGTTTTATTGATCACCGAGACAGCATTGACTTAAGATGTTGGTTCAATATAAAAATTATTTTTTTTAAATAGCTTAGATGTAGTAAACTACTTTTGCCATGTTGCTGTAGCTTAGCTTGCTACATTTCACAGGGCTGTAGCTTTAGTGTAGTAAAGCTTCATTTAATGAAGAGTAACTGTTAGCTTAGCTCACTACATTTTCCAAGTAGCTTGCCCAAGACTGGACATCGGTAATCGAGAGCTTCTAGCCATCAAGCTAGCCCTGGAAGAGTGAGGACGACGAGCATGCAGATGAGCTTCCCTGAGACGGTTTCTGACAGTTTGTGCAGAAATTCTTTGGTTATGCAGACAGATTGTTGCAGCAGCTGTCCGGGTGGCTACTCATGAAAATGGGGGCAAAAACAAAAGTGGTGCGTTTATAATTTTGTTCAGTATATATATATATATATGGTTTTCCAGCATCTTCTGCATATTTGAACCCTTTCCAAAAGTGACTGTATGAATTTGAGGTCCATATTTTCACATTGAGGACAACTGAGTGACTCATACACAACTATTACAACAGGTAAAAACATTTACTGATGTTCAAGAGGGCAGTACAATGCATTAAGAGTCGGGGGAGGTAAACTTTTGAACAGTAAACTTTCTTCTCATTTTGTTTAACAATCATATTTTTTAATTTAGTACTAGACTTCAGAAGCTACATAAATGTTTACATGTTTCCCAGGAGACAAAATAAGTTCAATTTACCCTGATCATCCAATTTAAAGTTTACACCCCCTGTCTCTTAATGCATTATGTGGCCTTCTTGAGCATCAGTACATGTTTTCACCTGTTGTAATAGCTG